GACGCTCATTAGGCATCAGCTAGGTCTTTTTATTAATTCCCTCATATTAAAGAGAACATAAACCATGGTCAATATCAACTTGTTAGATGCTTAACAAAAATATATATAAAAAATTGCACTGAGGGAGAGATATAAGATTTTCTGATGAAAAGGAGAGTTTTTCTAGAGAGATAATGGAAAGGAGAGTTGATGAGTAAAGAAGCAAGTTGGCATTAAAAAGAGGCAAGTGCCAATGCAAAGCAGGTGTATACTCTACTTAACGTATAATCTCAACTTATTAAAGACTTATAAGCAGTGGTCCTTAACCTATAATCTCTTCTTTTAACTCATTTCACATATGTCCACACTTGTTTTCATAGCCAGCCCCCACCATATTACCCTGCATTTTTTATTTAACCGCATGGTTTCATGTCTTTGTGTTATACATTTTCAGGGTCAAATATCACATCGGACATTGTAAATAATTTAGCATTGAATTGGACTTCACTCTCTAGTTATGCCCTACCATTAATTTATATAACTCTTTTTGTTATACAACCAAACTTCAAACTTTTGACAATATGTATATTTCTTAAAAAGAGTTTGCTACATAACATATAGAATCATATTCAAAATCAAGTAGCTGGTATATACCGATATTCCAAATCAAGGATGACATACTTGAAATGTTCATACTTGCAAGTTGCAACCGATCAATAAACATAAGAACAAAGTTGTATAAATTTAGTTATCAAAAAAGTTGTATGAGTTTATTTATATATGTTATCTATTATTTTTTTATCATGAGAAAACTAACAGGAATATCTTTTGTCGATCAAATTCCTAGCTGTTTGCATCACATTAATCTACTTAATATGAATAATTATGATAAAAATGCTTATACATATGATTATAGGTCGTCTTCTTCTTTAATTGAGATCCCTACATCTTAGTATATATACGGCAAAGTTTTCGCATATGCAGGTTCAATTCAAATTTTAAATCTAGAATCTATAGGAAGATTAATAGGATATGAGCAGAATTCTAGATCGGTCCCGTGGCTACAAAGGTATATGCTTTGAAAAGGGCGACGCTACGACGTCTCCTTCTTAATTTCCAACATTTCTATAAATTAAACATTTAATAACTTTTCACCATTTTCAGATTTCAGAAATAATTTGGTTTTATTCGTCATTATTACTTTGCAGATAATCATATTAAAGAAATCCCACTGCTCAGCCGGATAGAGTAATATTTGGACAGATTAGTTATTGTAAAGAGTCTAATAATCTGAATTCATTTTTGGATGTGTTGTGATGAAATAAAGAAAAGAAAAGTAGGTGAGTATATATATATTATACTAACATATATTAAAGTAATCTATAGGTGTGGAATATTTATTTAATCTCTGGTGAGAAACCATCAAACCTAAAAAATAACAGTTTATGGCCTGAAGGTTGTGTGACCACTCAATTCTGTAATGTGAGATGAGAGTTTGGACCACATTGATCAATGTTCTATCACCTACTCTTTAATTTTTTAAAATTCAAAATAAAACATGAACTTTAACCTTTGTTTAAAGCAAGCCTAATTAAGATTTACCTAATTTATTATTCTCCCCTATTTAAGCCGAAATTAGCCAGAGAGACATGAATGGTGCTTTGTCTCTTTCAGGACCACTCACCACGTACGTAAATAACGATAAGATTTAACATGAATGTACGTGAAAACTTTAAACAAAACTTTTAATTTTTATCAAGAGGGGTCATGTGAGTGCCACGTGTCTTATTTTAGAACAACATCTGTATTAAATTATGTAGTAGTGTATACGTTGATGTCGGTCTGAAGAATGAGCTGTACACAAAACTAAAACTGTCGATTTTCATTTTGGATCTCTTAAAAAAACTATAATTTTTTTAGCAAAATTTATATTGTCAACACTATAAGTCTAGATACTTGGTCGCTCCACGAGAAAGTTACTATAGTCTTATTATGTTTTCACGTGATCTGATATATTAAGATTAAAGCATGATAGGTTGCATGATATGTTAACGTGAAAACCCTTCTTTGAGGTTTGAGCTTCGTAATCATAATTTTTTTAATACCTAAGATGGATTATTTTTTGTTCCTTCTGTAAGACGTAGTAAATCTCTTTCCTTCAGAAAAAAAAAAGTTTTCCTTCTCTTGTTTTCGCTGCAAAAATCTTTCTTGAATTTCAGTTACATGAACTAAACTGTACATTCTTTTATAAAAGAAAGAAGTAAAATTATATATTACAAGCATGACTGGGTATGAAATAAACGAGTATGGCAGAAAGTCATAGCATATATATAAAAACTTAGCCCACCATTTCGTAATTACAGACGGCGATAGATCACTTTCATTTATATTGATATATGGTCGAGGGGACATGAAGACACTCCGTAATACGTAGACCTTATCTATTACACCAAAAACACTAAAGTAATACATGAAATAAACGGAATCTAGCTAGGCTCTTAAATTGTAAACATAGTTTACAAATTACAGAAGAGATGGGTATGACTGTAAGTCGTCAGCTCTCAACTTTTCTCTTCAAGTAGACTTGTAAGGTTCAACCTTGACATCCAAAATATACACAGGATATATATATACTGTGATTTAGCAATAAAAAAATATACTGTGATAATTATATGACGTAAGAGTGACTGATTAAGAGAGCAAAAACCACTTGCATACTTCTAAATGATCCTGTGCATATTATCCGAAATCCGAAAACCAAATCGAAACTGAACCGAAAAAACCAAAATTGAAACTGGTTTGAAAATCACAGAAATTCGAAGGATTCCTATATTTCTAAATCTGAAAAACCAAAACCGAACTAAAAACTGAACTAGTACCGAATATTTTGAATATATTAAAATATTAAATATTTTTAATTATTTATATAAATATAATTTATAAATAAAAATATCTAAAAAATCCGAACTATTCGAAGAACATGAATAGTTTTCGTGGTTTTCCGGGTTTAACTCAAGTTTTCGGATTATTTTTGGTTTATTAGGCTTTAAACCCAAACTAAACCTGAATTATCTGTAGTACGGTTCCACTTCGGGTTTTATAGAAGAATAGAAATCCGATATTATCCAACTCGAACCGATCCAAAAAAATGTCTGGTTCCTAAACAATTTCTAAACATCTCAACCCGAATAATTTGAAAACCGAATAAATTAAACCGATCCGAACCGAAAATACGAATGCGCAGGACTACTTCTAGTTGCATGTGCTACAAAATTTATGGCACACATATATTTTTGTTGTTGTCAACTTATACATATGTAAGAAAGAAAACTTATGCATATGTAGTTGTGTATTAATGCGTTGGTTTCCTCGAAGTATAATGAGCTTTTTAAAAGAAAACTATAAATGAGTTGTTCACATTTTTGAATTTAATTATTAAATTATCATTTCTCTGTAATAGTTTAATTTCTGGGCCAAACAAATAAAAAGTCAACAGTAAAGACCAAAAATATAAATCAACATGTCGTCTTGTCCTTGTAGAAGCAAATAACCCATCCCAAAATGCCTTACCACAGAGCTCAATAATTAGCATTTATTATTTTCTGTTCATAAAAATCCAATAGTCTTCTCTTTTACTAATCTTTTAGTTTTTTTCTTCTTCAACAAAAACAAAACTATATTCCTACGCAATCATCTATTTATCCTCATATCCCAACCATTTAGTTTTATATGGATTCGATATATTTCTGAATCGTGACACTATATCAGAATACAAAATAGATAAAGATTATATTTAAAGAAGAGACTACAATATATTATTCTTTATACTACTGAAATTCACACAGTTTGAAAATACAACAAAAACTTAAAGAGGACCTCATGCACTTAGAGTTGGCCAAAAATCACTTAGGAAGAGTTTTCAAAAATTTGAGAGAATCCTTCTTAACTTTTGTTGGTATTTTAAGTTATTGCTTTAGTTATGATATTTTGAAAATAAAACTATTTAGTTACAAAAAAATAAAAATAAATAAAACTATTTAATTTGCATTTTTCGGTTTTGGAATTAAACATTTTAAAATAAACATGTTCCAGAAAAATAGACTAGAACTTCTCCACCAGAACTAAAATATCACTTGTCTTCAGTTTTTTTTTGTTGGTGAAAGACTAAAAATTGATAACAGTCGTCATCTTCATATATATTAATACATTTTCGCTATATTTTTTCAGTTCTTCTTGTGAATGACTATCATCTAGATAGTTTTTTTCTTTCCAAATATTTATGAATTCGTTAGGAATGATCTACTATATTGTAATTATATATAAATGATGGTACGAAGTGATTTCTTTTTTCTTTTGTTCTACATGAAGAACAAAAGATTCTAGTTGAGAAATGATAAATGATAATTGAGAGAATACGTAAGCTTTTAGTTGTAAATCAAAACATATTATTGAAAGAAACCCTTTCTCAAAAAAGAGATAACATATTATGGAAAGACAAAAGGCTAACCAAATAAATGTAATAACGAATAATGTATAGAGAAAAATTGAAACAAGGGTAGTAGAAAAAAAGGACAAGAAGCTCACATGAACAGAACCAGATTGTTCATGGGTCCCCTCTTTCTCTCTCTTCTCCTTAGCCCATATCTCTATCAATCTTATATTTACATGAGCTCCTTCTATCTTCTTTATTTCTTGAGAGATTGTTCCTAATTATACTTTGCTTTTCTTTCTTGGAGTTAGAGAGCTTCTTGCTCCATAAACAGTAGAGAGAAAATGATTCATTTGAGTAAAGATCAGATAAAACCGTGCTAATCAGTGAAGTTAGGCGCAAAATAAAAACCCACTTTCTACTTTTGTATAATTAGGTCAATCTCATCCCCCACCATACTCTTCTCTCCACCAATTCTCCTCTCCTTTTTCTCAATTCTAAAACTAGGGTTTCATCTCTCTCTTTCCAAAACAAGAAGATGAATCAAGAAACTCTTTAGAGATCTGAGTTTGGTTCCCCAATAAACAAGAAGATGAATCAAGAAAACAAGAAGCCTGTGGAAGAAGCTTCGACTTCAATGGAGAGAGAGCACATGTTTGACAAAGTAGTAACACCAAGCGACGTAGGCAAACTAAACCGTCTCGTGATCCCAAAGCAACACGCGGAGAGATACTTCCCTTTAGACAATTCCTCAACAAACACCAAAGGGTTGCTTCTAGACTTCGAAGACCGAACAGGAAACTCATGGAGATTCCGTTACTCTTACTGGAACAGTAGCCAAAGTTATGTCATGACAAAAGGCTGGAGCCGTTTCGTCAAAGACAAGAAGCTTGATGCTGGTGACATCGTGTCTTTTCAGAGAGATCCTTGTAATAAAGACAAGCTTTACATAGATTGGAGGAGACGACCAAAGATTCCAGATCATCATCATCATCAGTTCGCAGGAGCTATGTTCCCTAGGTTTTACTCTTTCCCTCATCCTCAGATGCCGACAAGTTTTGAGACTAGTCACAACCTTTATCATCGGTTTCGACGAGATCTTGGAGTTGGGTATTATGTGAGGTCAATGGAGGGAAATGATCCAACGGCTGTGATTGAATCTGTGCCGGTGATAATGCAAAGGAGAGAAGCACAAGTGGGTAATATGGCTTCATCAAGAGGAGAGAAGAGGCTAAGGCTTTTTGGAGTGGACATGGAGTGCGGAGGAGGAGGAGGAGGAGGAAGTGTGAATAGCACGGAGGAAGAGTCATCATCTTCCGGTGGTAGTATGTCACGTGGCGGCGGTTCTATGGCTGGTGTTGGTTCTCTACTTCAGTTGAGGTTAGTGAGCAGTGATGATGAGTCTTTAGTAGCGATGGAAGCTGCTAGTGTCGATGAGGAACATCACTTGTTTACAACAAAGAAAGGAAAGTCTTCTTTGTCTTTCGATTTGGATAGATGTTCATGATTAATTATGAGATTAATCACTACTTTTACTACACATTATATATGATAATTATACATATTATATATATGTGACACAAGGATGTCGTTCAAGATTTTATGATAACATCAAGTAAAAAGCATTTTCTTTAGAGATTCGAGTTTGGTTTTGATTCTAGTTTGTTCTTCAAAAAAAATATATATTTTTTTTATAACTTTAAAAATTATCCTCCATGAAGTCTTCTCTTAGCTTTGGTGGGCCAGAGTATATATACAGAACATAAACTTTGGATAGCTAGGGATCAGTGTTAAACTTAAAACCCCCATGTCCCTCTGGTCAGAAACTAATCAGAAGATATGGGCTGTCTTAGAAAAGTGAAATGTATGTAGATGTATATTTATAATCTGTAAACATTTTGTGTATACTGACATTAAATGGTTATTGAACTGTTTACATTGTTTAGTCTATTTTGATATGGCTGCTGTCCGGTTACCGCTGCATTTCTGAAGCTGTTGGGTCTGCTCAATTTGTCAAGCAGATATTGCAGCTTGCAGGAGATGGGCAGACACAGAAATAGATTTATTAATTTATATTTCAAAATAATTCTTATTATATCTTTTTTTTGGGCAAAAATTCTTATTATACCTAATAGTACTAAATACATAACTAAATAAATAAAAGAAGGGTTTCTTTCATCTGGGTAAGATTGAAAAGGTATGAACAGTTTCACATACATTGCTGATGCATTAACTGGTACAGAAGTAATTAGTTTTTCTCTTTTCTTACTTTATAACAAGCTGGCTAGTTTGTCTGTATCATTGCACAACTCAACTCACACATATATCATACACGCAGAGAGTGTTATTCTTAGGTCTTGCTCGGTGTGTTTATGCGTGTAGTTAACTGTTTTAGCTAATATAACATACTAACACAATGTGATGATAATAATAGAGATTATATATATACAGGAATCTGATATATAGTATATATATGTACATGTGTGTACATATATTCTTGTCTTACATGATTTATGCATACATATAGTCACAAGCATTAACTAGTCTATAAATATACCACAATAGTAAGAATCTAGGGCTTATATAGCTAGCTAGTCTCAAGATTAGTTTATAATATATATTTTGATATGTATAGATTTGTGGAGCCTCAGTGTATTGGTACAATAAAACTAAACAAGATTTAGTTCAAACTTCTCTTGAATGATGCTACAGATAAAAAAACTAGAGCCTTTTGGGAGGGTTGTTATTTTATATATGTCAGCAGTATTTGTCTGCTATAGGTTTTTAGCATACTGCTAAGTAAGGCTATATACTAGCGTGAGCCATGGGCGCATGCAGAGGTGAAAATGAAACATTTATCATATAAAATATACAGGCCTGCCTAATATGTAAATAATAACAACAAAACTTTAAGGCGTTCTTTCACCATATATATGTAAATGGTTATTGATTTGGCAAAAAGTGGTTATTAATGCATGTATTTATAATAGAAATTTGTGTGTGTACGTTTTACTTTTGTAGGGAATCTAATCTTGAACAAGATATAGAAAATTATACTAGTAATTTTTTACATTTATAGTTCGTTTTTTTTTTGAGCAAACATTTATAGTTCTTTAAACTAAGCAAAACCAGGATCAAATCTCAACTTAAAGTTAATAGCCTATACATACCATAGCTGTGAAAAGTCATCGAAATCAGCGAGGGCTAACTTACCTATAGACCACATTATGTAATCATATAATATCTATATAGTATATGTGAAGAACAGACGAGATGTTAGACTGAGCTACACGAAGACTGATGATGATGAATGATTCCCCAAAGAAAAATAAACAAAAGAGAAATTCAATCGATTTTAACTATAGGTGATAAATTTATGCAAGTTTATAATGTTTTTAGCATTCTACTACTAGTGAGCAATGGAGAAATGAACTTTTCTTAATTGCAGTCTTTCGTATCCAAGCCTCAGTATATTTAAGCAAAAAATATAAAGTATATTTAACACAAAAAACTATATCATGTTTTATAGAGTATTATGCGTCATTAAATACTTTGTAATGCCACGCCCAAGAAGGTTTTGAGTATTAATCTTAGGATTGCAAGTTCATTAGATTTCACTATTATTGTTTGTTGTTTTCTTCTTGCATTGACATTTCTCGTCATTGCTTGGGACAAGCTCACCAGGACAAAGAGATTGCAGAACTTTGGCATTGATTGGTAACCATGCGGAATGACGGAATGACTTATGAAACGCGATTCCGCAAGAATTTTACCAATCAACGAAATGTTGCGGAATGAAAAAAAAACGCAAAAACGCAAACTTGCGTTTTTGCTGACAAAAATATAAAGAGAAATTTTATTAAGTGGAAAAGTGAGTTTTAGTAGATTATGGTGGAAAGATTTACAAACTAATATTTTCATATTATTAAATTATATGCTAATACTATCTTAAAATATAAAATACATATCAATAATTTTGATGATAAATAATTATGTTGTAAATAAAGTTCTATTATAATTTGTATATCAAAAAATGTCTATTGTTAAAATGTATTGAAAGATATGTTAGATATTTATAATAAAAACTAAAATGTATTTAATAAATTTTAGTTGTTTTCACATTTATAATAATTAGTTTAATTATTACTAGTTGTTTTTTATAACAAATTAAAAAACATATAAAATATTTGTTTACATTCACAACGAGTTAAAAAGTATGAAATTAGCACTCCAATATATTAGGAATATAATTACCAGTGAGAGAGTTTTAGAGAACCATTCAAGTGAACCGAACATCTAAAGCTAAACCAGAAAGATGATTCAACAACTGGTGCTAAATAAGAAATAGAAACCTTCAATTAAACCGATGATTCAAAGCATTTGAAGCTCAGACGGAAATAGAAACCATTCAAGTGAACTTGTAATTTAAACTGTTTAGTTAAGAGCCATATAAGAAACTCAAGTAACCACATTTGCGTGGCTACTCTTTATCAAAGGATCATGTCTAAAACCACATTCTTTTACTGCTACTATCAATGATGGCTGATGATAAAACCAAACCAAAAAAAGATTCATCCTTTTAAAAGAAACAATCCATTAAATATAAAACTAACTCAACATTACACATCCTACAAACACAAAGGCAAAAACAATTCATCGTGTGATCTAACAGAACATGAATCATCTCAAACACAAGACACTGAAATCTAATTGGAATCAATTTTGTTAAACTCTTGAGGATCAGAAAGCGCCGACGAGAAGAGAGAGTCCAAGCAAGAAGAGCCAAACGATGTGAATCAATAACAAAGCTTGACCAGGCACAGAAGCGCTTCCGGCGTTATCCGCGTCGCAAGCTCCTTTTTTTACTACGCGAGCTCCATGGCACGCTGCGTCTGGACAGCCACACCAGTACGTGACTTTATCGGCTCCGCAAACCGGATCGGCGCGGAAACAGTTAATCGGACACCCGCCCGGATCCGAGACCGTGCCGCATACGTCGCCGCTTGATTTCTCCGGGAGATCGTCCGCTGCTTGAATGCGGATCGAGCAGAATAGTAATAGGAGAAGTAAGGGGATGATCGACGAGAACGACGGCATCGCGTGGAAATCGATTGGTTCCTGAAACGTAGAGATCAAATTCGTGGCGAAAGGAGAGGACTTTCCCGATTTGCGTAGAAAGTGTTAGGAGCGATTCGAAACCCTAATTTGAGGAGAATTGGGGATTTTTATCGGAGTTTACGTGTAACCGTGTTGTTTGAATTGGTGGGTACACCTGCGGGAAAATAGGTTTTTAATTCCCCAACTATTTCTAATCGACACTTTTAATACCCAATTACTGCTTGTGCATATTTAATCCTCAAGTAAATGTTGACAGTACAAAATCAGACTACAAAAAGTCAAACGTTAATTGTTTTGACGGAAACGTTAGTTCAAACAGAAAAAACGAGCTTTGGTTCTTGAAACCCAGAAATCTCTAAAACTGATTTGGGAGGAGAGAGGCGAATTCAGATGAAAATTAGACACTTCCAACAATTGAGTGAAGAACATAATTTAATGTGTAGATAACAACAAATCTCCTTTTAACTTTGCTCACTGTCACCATTGAAGTTAAACAGTTATCAAGAGTGAACAGTTACAAAAAGTCAAACGTTATCTTGCTTACCTTCTCTCACACATCAGCTTCTCCTTGGATCTAAAATAAGAAAGCGTAGAGAAGCTTTTTACCAGAACTTAGTAACCAAGAGCATTGGTAACTTGAGAGGAACTCATAATCAAATCAAGTCTTGCAGAGCTACCACATTTGTCAAATGAAGTTGCAGCGTAGAAACTGTAGCTCTGGTTCTAAATGGATTTCTTATGCTCTGTTTCATGGTAGTCTTTTTCTTTTTATTTTGGTAAAGATCGAATCTTAATGGTTCGAGATATATTAAAGAGATTGAATTGTACATAAGAGGAAACGTATCCAGTTCTCCATTTAAGTGACCTATTTCTTCTTCTTTGTTCCTATGTAATAAGAACACACACATGACAAATCAGTTCTTACCTTAACCAAAAGTATCAAATTTATATTGATTCTCATCAATGAACAAGGGATCTTGATTAATCAGTTCAGCTGGGCATGGCTTGATTAACCGGTTTACTCAGCATAGTTGTGCGGCAAACTTTACGTCTCCAGCTCGAGGCAGTCGTGCATTGGGTCGCCAAAGCCAAGAAGCTTAGATGGATGAGCTCAACGGATGTTAGAACCAGTCACTCCACTTTTGTCCGGAGACAATTACGTGAACGTCCATTAGATCATAACGTTTTTCATTTTTTACCTTGTTGACACTTGAACACTTCAATGGCAACAATAAGCAAAGATCATAGGAGATTTTTCTGTGTTACTGAACAAAGTTTATGTTATTCATTCTCAATCGCAGGAACTGTCCGCCTCTTCTCCTCAGGTATCATACGAGGAATCAGTATTAGTTTAAGAAATAAACTAAAGTTTCTGTTAGTTTAATTAACGTTTGATTTATTTAAGTCTGATTTTACGCTCTCAACAGTTATTTGAGGATTAAATACGCGCAAGCACTAGTTTGGTATTAAAAGTGTTAATTACAAATAGTTGGGGAATTAAAAACCCATTTTCCCGTACACCTGCCCCCCCACCGCCCACCGAGAGAAGCAGATTATAAAAACGACGCGTTGTTTTTGAATTTAAGCGATCAAACATGCTGTTTAGAGATAATATCGGTTTGATGGTTTGACCGGTTCATCAATTATTTTTAATGCAATTTGAGACAATGTTTGGTTTTAAGATGCTCTGATATTAAAGATCGAAGACTTGTTCAGTCACATAAGTATTTGATCTAATGCAAGTTCAACATTAATTCAGATTCTATTTTCAAGTAATCAGAATGACCAAAATGTCAAAAACCATACTAACTGAATGTGTTGAGCCTTTCCTAAGTTGATCAGGCTTCTCTGTGTCGGAGGATGCAGTCAGAACTGTGAGCCCTGTCCAAACAAAAGAACGGTTTACAGACAGTGAAGTGCTCAGCTTCATTTGATACTCTTATGCTTAAAGACTTCTCTATTGGATCAGGTTCAATGGGATCCAAATGTTTTTTTTTGAAGGAGGATTATCTCTTGCGACATATCGTCATGCCATCACCAATTGGTACCTGATGCGCAATAAAAAAAGGGTAAAAAACTCAAGCATGAGCTTGGAAGAACAAAGCCAAAGAATCAAGGGGGAACAGACTCACCATACTAATGCTTACACGTTCGTCATCCATTAACTTCTTGTTGAAATCTCTAATGCTAATGGTCTTTGCATCATCCACCTGATGAATTCATAGTTATAAATCTATGGTTTTCTTTTTCAGTGGGGAAAGGTTTAGGAGCATGATTATGGTTTAAGATGCATACCATAGGATCTGCAACTCGTCCATGCCAAAGAACATTATCCATCACAATAACTCCACCAACCCTCACCTGCGTTAACAGAAGATAAATTGCTAAAGCTAACTTAATCACTTAATGATTAGCATATTATGATCTATGGCCTTACAAGTTGAAGAAGCAATTCGAAGTAGTCCTGGTACATCCTCTTATCAGCATCCACAAATGCAAAATCATAACTGCAAACAATAAAAACCTGAAATGAAGCAAACCAATTCAAGCAGGGACACAAAATTAAAGAAGGCTATTATAATCAACCTGGATCCTTCACCGTTCTCAATCATTGACTTCAACGACTCTGCTGCGAGTCCATGTTTCACAGCAACCTGACTAAAGTAAACAAATTAAACAATCACACAGTTTCTCATAACATAGAAGAAGGAGTCTTACCTTGTGAGAGACACCAGCAAGCTCGTAATACCTCTTAGCAACTTCAAGAGAGTTAGAGTCTCTTTCACAAGCAACAATACGTCCTGATTCAGGTAGAGCCAACGCTACAGCCAACGATGAATACCCCTGTAACAAAGCTTTATCATCATTACCATTCGAAACTCTACTTGACAAGCATCACAACGTTCATGAAGAAGAGAGAGAGATCAGCACCGTGTAAACTCCTACTTCGATACACCTCTCAGCTCCAAGAATCTGCACAAGCATTGCTAGTAACTGCGCTTGATCAGGAGATACCTAACACGAACAGAATCAGAATCAACGAAAGCTACATTCGAATCACGCATAAACCGTAACCTACCTGCATCTGACTACCTCGCATTTTCGCAGTCTCTTCACGAAGAAGCTTCAGAATCTAACGAACAGAATCAAATCAAGACGATGAATCAGAAGCTAAATCCCTAGATCCGAGAAAAAGGAAGACGATAAGACTTGAGAGATACCTCAGGCTCGCGAACGTTGGAGAGGACGTAGTCGTAGAGGCGAGGAGTGAGGCTGATGACCTGTTTGTTACCGTACTTCTCGTCGTCGGCGACGACGAAAGGAACCGCTGCGATCGAGCAGTTTCTGATTAGTCGGCGGTTGAGTTTGAAGTTCCTGACGACGGAGGCCGTTGGCCGGTTTAGTAATACATCGGCTGTTCTAAATACCGAAATTGAGTATCGGTTCATCGCTAAACCGGTCGCCATCTTCTGCTTCACTCCCGGAAACGGAAGACGATAAAGAAGAATCCTCGAAGTTTTCTGCGACTCTGCGTCTTCTACAGTCAAACGGGTCGGGTCAAGATACGGGTCGGGTATCACTCTTTTTTTTTTTTTGAAAGAATGTTGAATTAATTCGAAAAATAAAACTGTTTACAACTAAAGTTGATTGTTTTAGACTCGAAAGAAACTGAAAGATTGATTTACACTAGAGGGTATCACATTATTTCGCGCGATTAAAATCAGACGGCATCGATTGCTGGTTATATATTAAGGTGAAACTAGATTTTGACCCGCGCTTAAGAAGCGCGGGTATTTTTTTTGTAGACTGTAAAGCTAAATATTTTGGAATATATACTTTGATGGGTTTTGATGGTGTTTTTGAAGTTGATTGAGTTGATGGTAAAAGAGGTATAAGATAGCTTGTATTTATAAAAGGAGAGGGGTTGTTGTCAATTTAGATTAAGAGAATATATGAAAGAATATTTTGTAATCAGTTTAAGTTTTTCAAAATCATGGTAGAAAATTAAGTAGGTGCAGTTTTGATTTTTTTGTCGATATAATTAAGGTAAATTATATAGTTGGCCATAATAAATTAGCTTGTAGACGAAGTAATTTAGATTTTGACCCGCGTTTCTTATATTTTTATTGACCGTAAAGTCAAATATATAATGAACCTATGTCTATTATTAGATATCTATAATATTTAAAATTTGTTCTATTATTTTATTTTAGTCTCTTAAAAATTAATAAAACGAATATGGTAAAAATATCTTAAAATCAAAAGATTGTTATTAACCCATTGAGAAGTGTGGTTTCTAATTTTCGATTATGCACAAATGGGTACTATATTTTTTAATTTTTTTGAAAACAAATTTAAGCCGAGTTAAATTAAACCAAATTTCATAAATAATCGATCATACCATATATCTCTAGAATCTAAAAATAGAAATCAAACCGAGAACAAAATGGGTACTTAAATTTTTTTATATATAAATTATATACCTACAATATTAATTATATATAATATTTAATTACTAAATAACCTAAAATACTATTTTTAAACCAAATTAGACAAATCAATAAATTACCTGAATATTTTTATTAAAAATATTCAACCTATCTGATTTTTAAATAGTAAGCTAGTTTACATTTAAAATTAAATAAATATATATCATGTAAAATAAATAAACAGATCTTATTTAAATAAATTTTTTGACCAATTTCGTTTGAATCTCCAACTTATAATGTTTAGACCCATTTAATTTTTTATATATCATAAAATTAACTATTTAGTTCTTCTATGAGAATGTAATATCAAAATTTAATAATTGATTGCATATAATTAATTAAACCAAAGTGTCATAGTTATAGTATCATGAATATTTATTGTTAGATAAATTTTATAATAGATTATGGAAAGTAATAAATGAGTTTATTTAAACTGTAAAGTATTTATATAGTTAGAGAAATATAAGGGAAGACCAAAAGATGTTAGTCTAATGAAAGGGTCCAAACAACTTTTTAAGTAGATTTATTTAAACTCCTTCTCTTTTAATAATATAGATTAATGATACACAGAAGACAATCATCACCTTGGTGCTTTTTTATTTCTTTCTCAACCACTAGTTATTGTTTTAGAACTCAAGAAAAGTTGATCAGAAACAATTGATATTAATGTGATCAGAAACAATTGATATCAATGATTCATCTTACTGCTACTATCAATGTGATATGACTGATGAATAACCAAACCAAAATGATTCATCCTTTCAGAAGAAACAATCCATTAAACAGAGTTATCTAAACTCGTACCAAACCAAAATGATTCATCTTACTGCTACTATCAATGTGACCATTAGACAGAGTTATCTAAACTCGTACCAAATCAAAATGATTCATTATACTGCTACGATCAATGTGACCATTAGACATAGTTATCTAAACTCGTACCAAACCAAAATGATTCATCTTACTGCTACGATCAATGTGATATGACTGATGACAAACAAAACCAAAAAGATCCATCCTTTCAAAGGAAACAATCCTTTAAACAGAAAATTAACTCAATTCATAACACATGCAAACAGAGGCAAAACTCATTCAACTTGTGGATCTATAAAGTATGACAAATAAAAAGCTACGAAACAAATTGGGATCAAGAAGCACTGAGATATAACAAATATGTATATGTATCAATAACAAAGCTCTGAAGCGCTTAAAAATATTCATCAATCACAAAGCATCATCCATACAATATAACCCGTGAACAGTAGTACCCATCGTATCATCATAATGGCTTAATTAACAAGAGAAAATAGCCATGAAAAACCGTGATCAAAGATAAAAAATAGAGAGAGGTATATAGAAGGTAGCTAGTTCCTCCTGAAGGTGGAGAGGGCCTTAGTTGCCACGCCGGCATCCATAAGGCCGTCCAACATGATACGTGTCGCAGCTGCTTTGTTGATCTTGGTAAGCTCTTCCGTCAAGACGCCCACAGAGTGCTGGTTTGAGAGGAGCTGAGATTCAAGCTGAGTTCTTGCATACTTGGACCTAGCTACGACTACAGAATCACACAAAGAAAACAAGAACCATACAAAGAAAACAGAGTCTAAGAATTTTGGTTTTCGTGCAAAAGTGGTACGGACTGAAACTTCAAAAGCATGAGATTTACCGTTTTCATCGGTAGAATTCTCTTCGAGAGTGGTTTCCACGTCGATCTGAAGCTCTAATATCGTCTTAAAGTTCTGTTAATCAGAGTTAACGTCGTTAAAATCGAGGTCTGAAACTGAAACCTCCAGAATTCAAAAGTTTATATATTTTTATGGATAACCAAAATTAGTCTATATATTTTTTTAGGAAACCTAAAAGGTTTATGTATTTTTGAGTGAAGCAAATTTAATCGGTGTGTTTTTGAAAGAATTTTCCCTACATCTAGACTAGACTATACCCAATGCAAACAAAACTGGAATCACCTTTAGATAGTGGGCTTCACATCGTCATCAAATAACTTTATTGGGATGTGATGTGGTTTGAGTACTCAACTCCAGTTTTCACGGGAACAACAAGATCATTGAACTTTGAAACTTTACTTGTATCCCACGCTTCAGTTTAATCTAAATTGAGGAGAGAAGGAAAAGTAGTAAAAAGACAAAGATGTACTATGAAGAAGCATAAGAACAATAACATGAATAGTTGTGAATCATTTTGACTTGCTACAGCCAAGAGGACAAATCTAAATCAAAAGGCAAAGAGTGTATATGAATGAAACACTCGTCTAAATACTCTTATTTTAGTACCATTTTTTCCAGATTTTATAAAGTTCTAGAATTTAAGGCATCTTGGGTGTTGTGACGGATGTGAGAATATATAGATTAACAGATGGATAAACAATAAAGAAAGACACAGAGATCTAACGTGGTTCGCCCCTAACGGCTACGTCCACGGGCAAAGAGAGTACTTTATTGATGGAGGCGAGTTTTCAGAGTACAATTCCGTGCTACATACTAGGGTAAAACCCTAAAGATATATATAAGAAAGCCTTTAATGAAACTTTCCATATTTCTCTGATTTGACACATATCGACCGATACATTAGCTCTTGCATCGACCGATATGTGTCGGGTCAGATCGACCGATACGTGACTCATGTGTGGATTGATTTGTCAGCTCGCATATTTAAGGCATATTTCAACATTGGGTTCGTTAGAACGTGTGGCAGGGTCAAGTTCGTCACACATACCCACGTATTAAGAAGGAAGACATGTTCAATAACAAGGCAATCTCTAGTTTTGGAAACCAAGGGGGAAACCCTAAAGTTGTTAGGTTTGCTTCTTTAAGTAACGAAGAAGCAAGTTGACTAAGCAAAGCAAAAACAAAAACATATATACCCGAGACATTGACGTGCATTCACAAGAACACTATGACATACTGAACTTTATTAAGAAATGTAACAAAGATAGAGGGATAGATGAAGGATGTTATTTCTTACTATTTTATAAGTAAATAATTTGGGCATATATTCTAGAAAACTTCACCAATTCATAGTTTATCTCTCTGTTTTGACTGAATAAAGAAAAATAGATAGATAAGATAAAGATGCAAGTTAATCCTAAAAGAAAAAACAAAAAGGGCTTCTTGTCTTTTGCAGAGAAGCTTTCTGCTGAAAGGCTTCAATCTCTCTCGTTCTTAGATTATGGAGGTTATCCAACTGCTCCAATTATGAAAAATTAAAAGATCAGTAAGAGAGTTTTCAGTTTAAGCAAGAAAAATAACTAAGAAGACTGAAAAAGGAAAACCTCAACCTCTTGAAGAGAAACATCACGCATATCTGTAAACTCTTTAGCAATTTCTAGGCACCGCTCCTTTTTTTGCACATACCATGAAACATCTACATGGAAGTAAGTTTGTAAAGATTTAAAATAAAAAAAAAACAAACACAAACACACATGGCAATAATTGTTAAAAAAAAAACAAGTTACTCGATATGAGTTCCCTTCGCACACACCTGATAACTCAAGGTTGCTTGCCATCATGTTACCGTATGTAGCAGCCATGTCCAGGAAATAATTCTCAGACTCTGCAATGGTGCGAACCGCCTGAGATGATGAAGGTAATAAGAGTTAAAGCTCTGTCTCAAGTGAACAAAATCTTTAGCTTTGAAATTGTCAAAAAGAGAGATAAAAAAAGAGAACCGTTACCTCGTTTAGCTTGTCTGTTGCTTTCTGAAGAAGAAGCAACTTCCTGTTGTGTTCCCTGGACATAGTAACCTGCGGATGAGGAAACCCACTCTGAATCTCCTCTAAAAAAACAAATCTCTCGTATCAAAAAATCAAAACTATATTCCTAATCTAAAAGAAACAGACTAGGAATTTAGGGTTTATCAATCAGTTTGATGATCCTAAGGTAACATATTTCGACAAGCCTTACGGATGTAAATCAAAGCAGTTTGCTTGGTTATTAAGTCGAGAGCGCAGAGGAACGATGAAG